TTTCAGTACAAATCGGCAATTTCATACTTTAACCCCTATTATTTAGACGCATTACACATTTAATAAAAGTCAATGATCTTAGATCATTGGTAAAAGTCTACTTTCGTACATTTTGTTGTACAATCGGATAAAATCAAAGTCTTTACTTTCGGATTTTTCTTTACTTAACAAATTGTATCGAATCTCATAATGATTAATATATTACCTATAAGGTACAAGGGCTTAACATACGTACATTAAGAGCTAAGTGCTAATTCTAATATTAAAATCAAAAGTAATTAAATTGCAATTTTGGGCCCTTCTTATATTAAGTGGTATAAACTTCAAGCTTCCCATTTTCTTGATTCTGTTCTAGGCCCTAGATTACAATAAATGGTTCAATTGAGTCCCCGCCTCCGTTGGGCTCCGTATCCCATACCTTTGTGTGTACGCTGTAGGTTATACGATGGTTGTTTCAAAAATAGTTAGCCACAGGGTAAATAGTTAGTAATAGTGTTTTATTATATGCATTGTATGTGTGTTAGTCGCTAAGGTATATATTATATGAATCATGTGGCCTGAAAATTAACCTACCAACAAATGGACATCGTGTCTAAGACAAAAGGCTCGAAACGAAATATAAAAAAACTAAAACATTTAATTTAAAATGTAACGTCATTGCAGTACTGCCTAATTTTGCTTGTAACAATTTAAGTGCCCAAAAACACCATATTCAGCTTCTAATGAAAACTTAATAAAATACACCATATTTAGCTTCAACTGAAAATCACTCGAACACAGTTATTATTAAAATATTATTTAATTTTTATACATATTATTATGTGAAATTTTGTACAAATTCACTTAAAGAAATAATAAAGAGTTGGGCATATACATAGCGAAATCAAAGCGACTCTATAGTTTCTTTGTTCTAAATCGTTCAATCGCTTGTGGTTCGAACAATTGAATATGACCAGGAAGTTGAACAGAATATAACAGAATATATTTGTTTAGTGAAAATATGATACAAAATCCTTTTTTTTTGCACTTTATTGCAGTAATTTTTACAAGTTATTATTATATATAGTACTGCATGATTGACAACCCCGCTGTCAGTCAAACAAACGCAGACTGTTGCGCGATTGACGCTCTGTATGCGATTTTAACGTCTTATAGTGTACTTATGACATGATTAAAATTAAATCTTAGTTTTCTACCAAGATGTTTTGAACGGTCTCAAAACGGCGTCAAAAGTCGTAAATTTTCATGGGTCAAAACGTTTTTGATGTAGGTACATACAACCTACATCAAAAACGTTTTGACCCATGAAAATTACACATCATATCGACTATGAACTGGCAATTGGTACTATCTCAATTTTGACAACTTTACAGGAAGAAGAAAAAAACATTTATATAGAAATCTGGTTTACTACATAAAAATACGTAGTGTACATTTATAAGTCAATGGTGTACATACATAGATGTGTAATAAAAATATAAAAAACTACGTATTTTTATTTAATAAAACAGATGCTATATATATATGACGCAAACAATTTCTTTCTTCACCTGTAAAGTTGTCAAAATTGAGATAGTCAGTCCGATTGCCAGTTCACAGTCGATATGTAGATACACATTAAATAAACCAGTCACTATTTAGTAAAATTGCAAAAAGTCGTATTTCTTAGGTAGGCAAACATATTTATTAATAATAAAAAAATACTAGTAGTAATAGGCCCATGATAGGCCTTTCGTCAGTCATGTATTTTTGTTTTACAAATATGTTTTATTTTTAAGCTGTTTGGTCAGAAAGGAACTCAATGAAATGATTTGAACTGCTTGAAAGTGTCTTAATGCTCTTTTCAAGATTCCTTACGAATAGGTATCTTTAACAAAATTAAAAGTATTTGATTGCGTGATACGTAAGTACGTACGTTAAGTACGTGATTTTCTTGATTTCATTTAATGACTTGCACGCTGTTAACAAATTCGTTTTATTTTGTTTACGTACTACATTTACATTTGTAGCCACTCATTGGCATATACAAATAAATTTAGCACATTCTGAATACGGCTGGCGGCTTGGTTTGGATTTAGTACACATCCGGCAGATTCCTCTTTCGTCAGATCATTTCTTTATTCCGTATAGGTCAGAAATTTGTTGCTGGTGACGAAGCAGTGATTATCGTGATTCCTTGTCCGTCAGATTCCGCTTTCGTCACTTGGGCCACTATACTTAAAATCGGCTATGTAATTGTCAAAATAGCATATAGCCGACCGAAGTAGGATACCAGATTATTTATTATTAGGTGCGAAGTGGTACAGCATTGCGTTAGAGAGTCATTTATCAGTTTTCGACGCAATGTTGACAGCAACTGGCTGTGCTGCTGGGCATCATCGCGCATATGCTGTTGGACACGTGTGAGGAGAAGGTGCGCAACTCCTTGGATGTCGAGAATCTGATCAAGGCCTCACGCGTCAACTTGGAAGAAGAGAAGAAGCTCAACTAAATACAATTTCATATTACTAGTTATGTTTTAATTAAATATATTTGAACTCATGTACTTACAACTACCTATGTAAAATCCAGGTCAAAAGCGTGTACGGTCGAGGAATAAATTATATTATAAATATTATTTACTTTATCCTTAAAAATTAAGCGTTTATATTTACTTTATCCTTAAAAATTGAGCGTTTCATAGTCAGTTACAAAAAATAATAGACGAGCTAGGTAGGCTAGGGTAGTGTTGGGCGTTAATCAATTAAATTTCAATCAATAATTCAATAAGATTAAAAAATCAGTTCAATTGATTACAATTGAATTGATTTTAATTGTAATTAAATTTGCAATTAAAATCAATTCCGGCCGGTTGGGGGCCCCGGTTGGAACCCCGCTTGGGGGCCCCGGTTGGGGTCCCCGGTTGGGGGCCGGTTGGGGACCCGGTTGGGGGGCCCGGTTGGGGGCCCGGTTGGGGGCCCTGTTGGGGGGCCCGGTTGCGGGCCGCGTTAGGGGCCCGTTTGTGGGGCCCGGTTGGGGGCCCGGTTGGGGCCCCAGTTGGGGGCCCCGGTTGGGGGCCCGTTTGGGGGGCTCAGTTGGGGGCCCCAGTTGGGTGGTTCGGAGCCATCAGGCCCCTTAACTGGCCCCCGAACTGGCCCCTTAACTGGCCCCCGAACTGGGTCCCCCTACCGGGCCCCCCAACCGGTCCCCCCAACCGGGGCCTCCCAACCGGGGCTTCCCAACCGGGCGCCCCAACCGGGCCCTCCAACGGGGCCCCCAACCGGGCCCCAACCGGGCCCCCAACCGGGCCCCCCAACCGGGCCCCCCAACCGGGCCCCCAATCGGGCCCCCCAAACTGGGCCCCAACCAGGGACCCCAACAGGGGCCCCCAAGCGGGGTCCCATCCGGGGCTCCCAAGCGGGCACCTCAACCGGGGCCCCCAAGCGGGCACCACAACCGGGGCCCCAACTGGGGCCCCCAACCGGGGGCCCCAACCGTGTACCCCAAACGGGCCCCCCAACCGGGCACCCCAACCAGGTCCCCCAACCGGGGCCCCCAACCGGGTTCCCCAACCGGGGCCCCCGACCTGGGCCACCGACCGGGGCCCCCAACCGGGGCCCCCAACCGGACCCCCCAACCGAGCCCCCAGCAGGCCCCCAACAGGCCCCCTCAACCAACGCCCTAACTCACCCCCATATGCCCTATAAATTTATCATAATTGTCAGTTTTAATTGTTAATTGTTAATCAAAAACATTGAAAAGATTGAAAATTGATTAATTGTTAATTGCAGATATTTGCGATTAACGATTGATCAATTGTTAGTTGCTGTTTCGCAATTGACAATTAATCAATTGTCAATCTTTAATTGCCAGAACAATTAAATTTTGCCCAACACTGTAAATAAATGACAGTCAACGCACCAGCCACGTATAAATACGTTGCCTTACTTGCCAATAATCAATGAATTTCAATCTTTGCCCCTGGTCCTGTTGTGTAGTTCTACTGGTAGTATCAAGGGCAATATGTTTTGTCTTTTTCTTTATTATCGAAGAGAATTTTAAATCGGGCTATCATCAGGCCCGGTGGCTCCTACATTGTTTGGAAGAAAAGGTTTGAAAGTGGGCCAATTCGCATAGGCAGTGAGGTAGTGGTTAATTTACTTTCGATTCCATGGAAATTCAGACTCGCTTGAGGCTAATATTAATCTACTCTTATTTTAAGTGACATTTTTCAAATGTTTTTATTTAATAATATTATAGGAGGCATAGATTTATATATACTAAATCTATGATACGAGGGGTATATCATGCGTAAACTTTGCTCTTTGCATTTACCGAAGCTTAAATGATACTCATTCGTTACTCAAAATAATTAGGTATACTTATAAGTACCACCACACTGGTCTGGATTGGGCTCTTTCTGTGGTATAGGTTTCAACGTAGTTTCGCTGTCTGGAGACGGTTAAATGTTCTTTCTTTACCATGAGAAATTAGTAGCAGTAGAGCTATTTGTGAAAGAGTTCGTCCAGGGAAGTACTGTCACCTTACTTTTTTCTGTCGCCAAGCGGTAATGTGAGCTTTATTGTGTTCCGGTTTTAAAGTGTGATTGAAAATCTGTAAAAAGATCATTAATTTTGACAACTTCAAACAGAATTTATGAAACGAAAATAAAAAGAAAAAATATTCCCTACGACCAAGACATCTCTGATGTTTGTTTAGAAACTGTTGGCTGAGTGTTTAAAACAGGACGGTGCGTAGCCATTGGTTTAACAAAGAGTTGTGGAAAAGAACAGTCTTTTTGGGATGTGAGATGCGTCTCGTTTTAGTTGCAGTATAACTATCTAGCTATCATTAGGAGTGCAAAAGTAGTTCTCTTTACACATTCATAAAACACAATGTCGTGGTTTTTAAAAATTGGGAAAATGGCCATATTTCCAGCAGTGTATGTAAATACGGCCATGACCTGGCCATATTTACCACACGTATTTTAAAGTTTTGCAAATATTACCTATTTTATTAATTTGGGTTCAAATCAATTTAAAAAAATATATGTTAACATTTTTTCTTAATTTTTATATATTTTTCAATGGTAACTTAAACAATCTAATGCTAATACAATCAATATTTGGCAAACATTATGAGATCAAATCTTTCTAACTTTAACTATAAAGTATCTTATAATCAATGGCATATTTTGAGATCACAAATCAGCTTACAAAAATAAAAACGCTTTAAAAAGTAAGTAATTAACAGCGTGTACTTATTTACTAACAATTGAAAGCATATAAATCAGTCTAAATAAGTAAAATTGAAAACTTTTTAAATTTGAAAAAGGAAATAACGAAAAACAAAAGTTATTCCTCACATCTCATACAAACAAACGTATCTCTGTCTTTGGAAGTGAGTCCAACACAGTCTTCGTGGACATAAGATGCACACATGCTGCAAAGCCTCATATCTGCAACGCGATCTTCTTTGCAAAGGAAACAATACCAAGATTCAGAAGCATCACTTCTTTTGTTCTTACTACGCTCTTTGCCTTTATTTCGAGTTTGTTTGTGTTTTGGAATGCTTGACGAAACAATATTAGAAAGCTGGGACTTATTTTCTTTATTTTGGAATGTTGATGAGGTGACCTCTAAAGCCAAATAATTTACAGCTTTCTTTCTTGGAGCAGATGTTGTATTCGAACTCTTCTGTGGGGTTTTCAAAATTTGGTTGAATGAAATTCTTGGTTCATTATCTTGAAAGTGAAATCAATTCTTTGGAGAAATTAAATACATGGACTCCTACAAATTTACCAGATGGAAAACAAGATATAGATAAGAAATGGGTATTTACTACCAAAGACAATGAAGCTAAATAGGCACGATTAGTAGCTAAAGGTTTCCAAGTTAAAGAAGATACTTATTTAATAACTAATTATTCTCCAATGGCAAGAATGAGTACAATGAGAATGTTTCTGACTCAATCTTTTGATAAAAAATTAAAAATACCCCAATTGGATGTCTCTACAGCTTTTTTAAATGGAAAATTGGAAACAGATATATCAAAGTACCACAAGGATTAAGAGACAAAATGAAGAAAAACCAAGTACTGAAATTAAACAGAAGTTTATACGGTTTAAAGGAAAGTCCGAAATGCTGTAATGAGTGCTTTAATGATTTTATGACAAAAGCAGGATTCTCACGATCAAAATACGATTTTTGCTTATACCATGGCAATCAAATATGGATTTTAGTGTTTGTTAATGACATGCTCTTAATGGGAGAAGAGACAGCTGTACAAGATCTCAAATAAAAACTGCAAAGAGAATTTTAAACAAAAGATTTAGGAGAAATAAAAAATGGACTAAAGATAAACCAAAAGAAACAGGTAGATAAAATTTTAAAAAACTTCAATATGAGAGAATGTAACCGTATAAAGACTCCAATGGAAAAAGGTTTACAAATAGATATAATCGGCGAAGTAGCAGATGTACCGTACAGAGAATGAATTGGCAATTTAATGTTCATAGCAACAGTGTCACGCCCTGATATCAGTTTTGCAGTATCCTACCTAAGTCAATTTTTGGATAAACCTAATGAAATTACATGGAAAAGCGCGAAAAGAGTGGTTCGTTACTTAAAACATACTCAAAATGGACTATATTATGAGAAAAATGGTGATAATATTATCAGTCTAGAAGCTTAGTCTGGCGCTGACTGGGCAGGTTATAGACTATCTAGGAAAAGTGTAAATGGATGTGTTGTGTTGTTTAATAATAAGGTAATACTTGGTTTTCACGTAAACAAAATTGTGTAGCGTTATCAACCGCCGTGGCGGAGTATAGGTATTGCGGCCGCCATTACTGCTAGTGAGTTACAAAATATAAAAGGTCTTCCTATGGATTTTAGATTTAATGTGATTCCTAATATTAAAATGGACAATATTGGAGCCATTTGTATTACTAAAAGTTTTGAAAATATTAAGAGATCGCAACATATTGATATTCGATATCATTTTATTAAAGATTTGATTAAAAATAATGTTACTTATGTTAACAGCAAAGACAATTTAGCATTCATGTTAACAAAATCTTTACCTATTGATAAATTTACAAATTTTCGTAACTTGTTAAAAGAATGTGTATTGATTGTTAATGTTATGTAATATGAAAGCGAGGTGGAGTGTTGAATATAAAATTGTCTCTGCCTTTACGCTTTGAAAAATACGTTGTTCGTTTTGTTGACATGTGGATAAAATGGTGTTATTTATTTAAACTAATAATAAAATACTTATTGTACGAAATGCAAGAAGAGAGAGAGAAAGAAGAGCACCCAACACTTTACCGTTACCAGTAGCTGACTGGAGAAGCTTAATAATTGTAATTAAGCTTATTTGAATGTCAAGATGTATCACCACCCTGACATATAATTACTTTTTTATGAAATTACTCCACTAGTTTGTTATAATTTATAACTACAAAGATCGAACACTTATAAAAAATTCCTTCGATCTGGCTGGATTCGAACCAACATCTTCTAGCAAACCGTACCAGACGTTAACTAAGCCACGGAACAACCCAGCGGACCTTACGAATTTTCTACATGCTTGTTCCAAATCTCAGTTTTGGTTTTTAACGACTTTTTAGCCGTAGTTCCATCTGTGACAAATCTACCTTTACAGCTACAGCAGCTGACTGGAGATGTCGCTTAGTAATTGTAATGAAGTTAATTGAATTTCAATAGTTTGTTATAATTATTAATACAAAGAACGCACACTTAGAAAAAATTCGTTCCTTTTTCAGCGTCAGGCGAGTCCGAAGTTACGAATTTTTCTGTGCTTGTTACAGATCTTTGTTAATAGACTTTAATCACCATGCTATTCAATGTTTTTTTTTTGTGAAATTAGTCCACTAGTTTGTAATAATTATAAACACACTTAGAAAAAATCCTTCGATCCGGCTGGATTCGAACTAGATGTGTGACGATCGTGTACGATACGATCGAATCAAATTTATTCGAACAGCACCTGGGTTACTAGCTTCTAAATAACCCGATCATTTTAGAGTTTCATGCACAGACATATATCCAGATAGACGCCGCAAGTACAGCAATTCATACGAAAACCACGCGTGCCATATTTTTTGTACCCACTATGACGTCACAAGAACTATTTAGTGATGAAACCTCCTTCCGCTCGCTCTGAATCGATTGATTGAACGGAATACTCATAAACACGCGTATTCCCTTCAATTAATCGATTCTAAATAGCTTAGATAAATAGAATATCCTCCGTGGCCGAACGGTTACCATGCCGGACTGCCACGCAGAGGTCCCATGTTCGATTCCCGGGCCGGGAGAAATAGTTGTATGGCCTACAATTACTTCTCTCGTGAGTTTGGGTGTAATTTGTGGTTGTCCATGTGTGTGTCCAAGGCACCCGCGACACAGGGTTTCCCTAGTGCGGGGCTATGTTTGAGTGTGTGCGTTATTTATTTATTTATTATTTAATAACTTTTGTTCAAGTATTTGTTAATTACAATAAGTCGTAATATTAATATAGTAGAAAAATAATAGAATAAGATAGTGACGTCCTTTATTATACTCATTTAAAAAAAATTGTTGATTACTAAAAAAAATTAACACTTTAATTTTTAGTCGACTTTAAATCTAAAAATTATTATCCTTTCAATAAAATTAGCTTATTATATAACATATTTTTGCAATAGAAGATTTTATTGATTAACTTAAATAATGAAAACGAACGTCAATGAACTTGCGATAATATATCAAATTGAGGAATGGCAAGACAAATGAAAATGTTACTGCTGACAAAATATGGTAAAATCTTATTAATCACAAGCGGTTTACTTAATGATGGCCTCGTTTGATATTTTTGTGATTTGTTTATTAGTTCTCGGATTCCTAACTATGCTACTCTGCATATTTGGATAGCATCTTAAGTGGAATAAACTATACCACCTCCGTCCTCGAAAGCAACGAACTCATACGTACGACCAACTCCAGGTTTTTGTAAAGGCAGCGCACTGGTAATTCTTTGCATTATATATTTTTTGTATTACTCGTACTACATATCCGGCGATGTATATACGAGGTAACGTACTGCAAAAATTATCGAAATTACAGATACTACTGATATAGATACTGCAAAACTGAAAAAAAAAACGAAACGTTAATAAACGTTATACCAAAGAACATATAGAATATTTTATAATATTGCTAAGATCATAATAATTTTCGTCCCTTCGTTTTCAAAATCATTCAGAATCGTGAACGGTATTGCCTAACGTACATATACATCACTAAATGTTAAAATTGGCCAGAGATATGTACAAGCGACCGTACCACGAAACTGAATGCATTATACAAAAGTGCGTTTGTCATCGAGCAATTCATGGCGTAATAACAAAGGATCACAAATATATCGCACCAAGTAAAAGTCGCAATGTATTACAAAGGGTTACACTCTGTTGCATATTTGTTTTCTCGAAATAAAAAAATATACCAAAATAATTGTTTTTAAAATAAATTATGCATCTTCTGATTACCAAAAACACTTGCCCGTTGAAAGAAACGTCCCTATTTAACCGTTTCCCCACAGTTATGGTGCTTTTGCAGTTTATAATTGCACAATTATGCATTTTTCGCGTTCTCGACTGGTGTTTATCTACGATAACGGTCGAGCGCGTTCTAAAGTGTAGCAGCTACAACTAAGTTAATTTCACTTACTTTAGGCACGCGAAGTACGTACACTTGCGACGTCTATTTAGATATATGTCAGTGGTTTCACGGGTCATGCGAGCAAAGTCATAATTTTAGAGATTATTCAACAATTCTCAATATTATGGTTGTCTCGTTCACTCTCACGTGAAGTCCCTACACACGACACGGTTTACCTTCTCACTCTTCGTTTGGGTCGAACATTTGTTCGATAGAGCATCCGTTCGATAGAACCTTCGTTCGATCAAAACAAAAAGTCAAGCAATTGATCAACAAGTCAACGCATTAACAGATCAACGAGTCTATCAATCATTCATTCTAATTGCTCCGCAGCGTAACGTCAAATTGGTAATTTTGTATAATTTGACACTTTTAAACGCCTTACGCCTTACGGAAGTATGGTGAGGGACGGGTGACCCGCTAAGATATCAAACATATGATGTAATCATTTGACCCGATCACAGTACGCATGGGTCATAATCGACCCGGGTTATCACAAATGATCGACCGACACAGGTCTAATTCGAACCAAATGTTACTTACATTCAGAGAATTTTGACGTTAAAAAGGAAAAGTATGTAATAATCAAATCTATTAAAATTACGTTGTTTTCTATAATTATTCCGCATTTTCATGAAGAAAAATAAATAAAACAAGTTGAGTCTTGATAGTCACGTTGTGGATTCGGAACTATTGTCTAGTGCCAACTGTTAGTTTCGTCAAGGAGCCTATAGATGGCGCTGTCATAATTTTACGAAATAAAGATCGCGTATTTTTATTTAACGAGAAATTATTTCCTATGTGTTATTAAATAAAAAATAAACAAAGTATTGAAGATATATATGTAAATAAATAAGTTCAACGTAACTTTTAATCATTACAAATCAACATTAATACAAAAAAAAAACTGAAAATGATATTGTTTCCATTGCATCCGTGTAACTATTTTAAGATTGCTAAATTTGACCTAAGAGCAATATTACTTTAATGTTAAAGTCGCGTCATAGTACGAATTGAGTGAGTGGATAGTCACAAAACTGCCAATAAAACATCATAGTTTTAACATTACAATAGCTTACTTTAAGAGCGATAAGGTACGAAAAGTCAATGTAAGGTTAAAGTAGTATTGTTGTAAGAGGTTGTGGTAGGCTCCCAGGTCACGCAGAGGTTATGTCGCAAAAGGAGGCCGCGGAGCGGGTGCGCGAGGACGCGGCGGGCGCGCACCCGCTTCGGCGCAGACGTACGGGGAGAAGGCGAAGGCAGT